GCGAACAGAGAATGAGATGGGCGTTATTGAACGAGCCTTTTATGTTTAGAAATGCACTCGGCGCTATATACCACTTTAGGTTGATGTAACAATGGAGCGTAGAGTAATGGTCGGAAAAAGATAAAATTAATAATTTTTAAGTTTTATTGGCACATTATATTATATTACAATCTTGTCCATTTAAATATGTATTTCAATTAAGACCTATAAAATTTAAATTTTTGAAGTCCTTGTTGGTGTCCAAATAGATAGGTATACAAATGAATCAGGTAGTTAGCTATATGAATTTCAGAATAAATAAGTCAAAATGTTAGACTACCTACATACCTGCAGTCTTCGCTCTTTCCCGATTTGTTTCTCGATAACTTGGATAAGCGGCATTCGTTGTATTGATCCTAAGAGAACCATACTATCTGGATTTTCCACTAGGGGAAAACTTTTTCGTTGTCTATTTTCTTTTAGTAAAACTTTCAGTTGTTGATAAGACATTCCATAGAAAATGTACGTAACGTCCCGCACCATGAAGTTTTCAACATATACATTGTACATACCTAAAAATAAATTTATGAACAATTATTTTGTGATTTTACCTACACAAAAGAGTTTCTTAGAAACTTTTTTATACCTCCACAGGGTTGCTAAGAGCCATGGTTGGGACCCGAGGCAAAACACTGACAAGGGCCACCCCACAATCAGCTGTAGCGAGGGTAGGCTAGCGGTGGGTCGGTGGGGCCCGCGCGCTGTGCTGTGAGCTGTCTCTAGGCTGTCTCTATTTTGAGTCACCTTGGATCAGAATAACTTCCTCTGTTTCACATCATTTTAATTTTTAATGTCACCGTGAACTTTAAACGAATAGGCTAATAAACACTATTATCTAGATCTACATAAAAAAATCTGAAATTTTATTTTTTTGATCTACTATTTACGACTAGCGGTGAATACTCTCTGAAGCTTCCGGACCTCCCCTGGGCCCGAGCCCCAGGGATTTTGCCCTCTCGTTAAGCCTGTACCTCCAGTATTCATTTATTTACTTATTATTCAAGTGCAGCATTTAAGGAAGCCTCAATATTGGAGAAAGAGAAGGAGGGTGGGCTAGTTGATTAAAAAAGTGCAATGTGCAAATTGGTACCTTGGTCGAAAATTGTTTAAACAGCAAAAATTAAAGTCAATGGTAACAACCAACGGTCATATTTCATACATTTCATTTCATACAGTGAGGAACATGGTGGGGATCAGTGGTGGCTCGTGGTTAAATACATTGGATGTTCTGCAAGAGTGTGCAGTAAATAGGCTGTGTGTATCTCGGGTAGTGTTGGTCAGATTCAAACGGAAAAATGGTATTTTGTAGAGAACATGGTATAGATTAACGTTGAATAGAAAAATCATGCGCAGTAGCAGTGCCAAAAGGACCTAAGCGCGTATCTCGGCTACTATTGGTCAGATTTAAATGAAGAAAACGGCATTAAGTAAAAAACATGTTATAGATTAACGTGGAATTGAAAAATCATACGCAAAGTCATATTTAATTATACTTTTAGAAATTTCTCTGTATATATTTTGGTCTCATAATAACGACATAGATATTAAACAACTTAACCTAACAATAATATGTTAAATTTTTAGGGGATATGTAACCGCTAGAGATGTTATATATTATCAGTTTTTTATATAATATATTTTTTAAAATTATACTTTCTATAAAATTAGCGGATACACCAGAGATTATTTGTTTCAACTTTTTCTTTTATTTTTCTTATATTTGATGTATTCTTCTTTCAAAACATTTTTGGTAGCCTTTATAATTAAATTTAATATTGCACTCTGTATATTTTTATACTTTTGTAAGGCATATATTATAACTGATTTGCAAATATTCAAATACGTTGAGTTTGTACAGAGAGGCCCTCGTATTTTATCTAGGTTGGTTTTCGTTTGTCATTAACGTATTCTTAACCAGATTTAACGTCTTTAAGTTTTTCTTAAGTAACGTAAAGCATTAACTTTTTTGATAACATTAATATGCCTTTTTAAAGTTATTATTCCTTCGTGCTATTTCTGTATACAGATATAAGGAAAGTATAGGAATCAGGATTTTTTTCGACCTCGAGTTTTCGACGGATTTTTACGTTTTGAGGTCCCCTGAATCCGTTTTGACTATTTTCGCGATGATGTCTGTATGTGTGTGTCTGTATGTCTGTGTGTCGCATAACTCATGAACCGATACACAGAAAAACACCAAATTTAAAACTTAAGCTTTGTTTCAGCGTCCAATGTGCTGATTAGATTTTGGACAGTGTCGGAACATCTGGGGGGGTACTTTATGGGTGGTCATTTTTATATTTTATGGAATATATCTGTTATTTACGTTTGGGGAAGAAAATTCTTCAAATAAAAGTTATTTGTAATATAGTTCTCTATAGTTTTTATCCTATACATAATTTCTCTAAAATAAACCGTATTCGAGATATTTGAGAAAATGTGTAAATTTTGAAATTTGAAGAAAACTCAAAAACGGATAAAGAAAAAAACATTAAATTTTAAACTTAAGTTTTATTTCGGCCTGACGTGAAATGATTAGATTTTGGACAAAGTCGGAACATCTGGGGGGGGTACTTTATAGGGGGCCGTTTTTATATTTTATGGAATATATCTGTTATTTATGTTTGGAGAAAAAAATTATTCAAATAAAAGTTATTTCTAATATTATTATCTATAATTTTTGTTTTATGTCAAAATTTCCTGAAATGGTCCGTATTCGAGAAATTTGACAAAATGTGCAAAATTCTGATTTTTATGAAAATTGTTGAAATAAAAGTTGTTTGCGATATCGATCTCTATAATTTTTGTTTATACATGATTTTTCTAAAATGGACCGTAATGGAAAAATTGTAGGAAAAGTGCTAAATTTAAATTTTTCAGTATTTTCATTTTCAATGAATATCTATAGAAAAATGTGTCGAGGTAGATGTATGTGGAAAATGTACATATTTATTTTATCCTCTAAACATTTATGGAGGTGCTGCAATAGGTTGTACAAAATAACCGGAAAAAAGCCTGTAATAACTAGATAGGAAAGTCATGTGTTGGACACATCAGATTTTTTTTAAATATTTAATAGAATTTGTAAAGCTAATATTGTTATGCTTTAGAGTCGAACAGGAAACGATATCATCCTGTATTAACTGCTTGTTAAATATCCTAAACTTTTCACCTTCTGTAGATATCTATATATCGTATATAGATATCTACAGATCGTACATATATCTAAGAATTGTCTATAGATTATCTACAGATCGTCTACAGTTTGTCTACAGAAACATTATTCATGATGGACCAATACCAATTGAGATATAGACTTAGACCTTTTGAAATTGTCACTGCGAAGGATTTTTCTCTTTAACGGTAATATACATGCAATTTCCCCCACTCTTCCGTTTTTCCCGTTTGAATATGACCGATAATAGCTGAGAATTTGGCCCTTTTGACTCCGACGCTCTACATGATTTTTCTATTCAACGTTTCGTTCATTACGTCGTTTGTTCTTCTAGCTTTTTTTAATATTTTTCTTTAACGCATGCCATTTTCTCCTACTCTTCGTTTTTCCCGTTTAAATCTTACCAATAGTAGCTCAGATACGCGCTTAGATCCTTTTGGCATTACTACTGCGTATAATTTTTCTATTAAACATTAATCGATACCATGTTCTCTTCATAATGCCGTTTTCCTCGTTTAAATCTGACCAACACTAGCCGAAATACGCGCTTAGGTTCTTTTGACATTGCTACTGCGTATGATTTTTCTATTCAACGTTGATTTACCATTTTCTCTACATAATTCCGTTTTTTCTGTTTGAAACCGACCAATAATAGCTGAGATACATGCTTAGGTCCTTTTGGCGTTGCTACTTAGCAATGAGAAGAATTCTTTTAATCAGGTACAGATTTTGTCTAGTCATAGTTAAGTATTTGTTTGTTGAGGTCTTATCGCGATAGCTCAAATGCTTCCTAATAACTTTCCAGCTTCTTGTTTCATCCCATCTTTCCTTAAATTTCACAAGCGAATGTTCTTTAATTAGGTTTGTTACTACCGATGTTGTCAGTTCAATAGAAGGGCCAGGACTAAAACGTATTTGGTTAACTACATCCATGGATAGTGAATCAGCAAGACGGTTATTTTTCGATGTGGCGTGACACATTGTTGATGGATACATTGGCTAAAGTTTCGTGACGTTGTTTCTGGTAACTTCTTTTGGTGTTATAAGAATTCCCGTAAGCTTGGTTTAAACTATACTAGCACTATTGGTCACAGCCCATTTTAGATTCAAGGATCTGGAATATATGCCACATCCTGAGACTTGTTTTGTTTTAGAACCCCCTCGGTGTAGATATGAATCATATGGTTCCATCGTGTTCCTGGCCTCTTGTGGAGGTAGAACTAGCGTCGCTGCCAAATGACTTGATTGGACCGTTTGTGTTGGTTTTGGAGTGAGAGCGTATCTTGCCGGTTGAAGTTGTCGTAGCTTTGCTTGCTTGCAGTTTAGATTTCTTCCTCCTCTTTGTTTTAGAAACAGATATCCTGTTGCTTATCTGGTGCTTGCGATGTCCAATCTCGTTTTTTTGGAGGTGGACGTCGCTATCCAGCCTCCTGTGCTGAAGATGAACTTTACTGTCCAGCCTCCTTGGTTTTGTGTGGGTTTGGATCCATAAGGTTCCCACGAGGAGCTAGAAAAAGAAGGGTCAACTGACGCAGAGCTCCGTATGCACCAGTTAGGCTAGATACAAGAGAGTGTCATCAGGTGCCCTCAAAAGAACGTTATCCTTACCGCCTATATCTTAAATTATACTTAAAACACTAATCAGAGAACCACTAAAAAATATAAACACGTCACTAATAATTTGTAGTTTCTTCTGTTTTAAAGTATATTTTGTCCTTATTTGGATATGTCCGCTTTTCATAGGACCAACTGAAATTGATGTAACTTTGATTACAAAATATCTTACCACTACTGCTGGGCAATAGATCCGGTAAATACGGTAGTTTCTTAATCAGGATAATACTGTCGTATATACTTGGATATAAAAGACTAGCGATTGCATTCGAAATTAAAACTGCTATCATTATTGGTATAATGTGAGTGATTTGTCCAGTCATTTCGAAAACTATTACGGAAACGGAAATGGTATGGGTCACGGCACCACTAAAAGCAGCAGCACCAACTGTAGCGTAACCACCTGGTACTATTTCAGCAATTTTTCCTCCATACCTCATTCCTAAAAAGAAAGCTCCATGAAAGAAACATTTTTCCATTGATGAAATAGTGGTTTTAAAGGTTTCGGTTGCCAGTTAACAATAAAGACAATATTGAAACAGTTGAAATGACACATTGTGTCAAAATGTAGGAGAAAAATACACCGATTCCATCAAAGCAAAAGGTTAAGATGATGATGGTGATAATGATGAATCGTGTTGATAACGAATAGATAAAAGGTCTTTACAAAAACATACCACATATTCCTTAGACCAAAATAAGTCGATTTAAGTAAAATTACCTTAGTACAAAGTTGCTTCGTCTGGGCTCCAGAGGGCCATGAAGTTACAATTTTTAAATCGTTTTTCTCATATAAATTTAAAACGGCATATGGGATTTTGCTGAAATTTGGTATATTGGTAGAGTTTTATGTGACAAAAAAATGGTAATAAAATTTTGTCCATAGGCGTAGAACTTGATTTTTTAAATAATTGCACCTTTAAAAATTCTACGCCAATGGAAGAAAAGGAGTTTGAGTATAAAATTTTGATTGCGCAACTCATTTAATTTAAAAAAAGTACTCTTGATAAGACTCGATTACTCTCATGGTTTTGACGAAATTTGCATTTTAGTAATTTTAGAACATAAACAATAATTATTGAAATACAAACTTATTTGTCAAAACCATGAGAGTAAATCGAGTGTTATCAAGGGTACTTTTTTGTAGTAAATGAGTACCCAATCCAAATTTCATACTCAACCCCCTTTTTTGCCATTGGCGTAGAATTTTTAAAGGTGCAATTATTTAAAAAATCAAGTTCTACGCCTATGTATTATTATCGGATAAAATTTTATACGATGAAAAACATAAAAATGTACTTTTTTCATATCTTCTTCAACACCTCTAATCGTGACTTTTAACAAAAATACTCGATTCTTGCCATGTACGATTTTTTGAGGAATATTAATTATTTGCCTGCAATACGTATACAAAAACATTTATTGTTGGTTTCCATAGTTTCATCTAAATAAAAATATTGTCAAGTTTTAATACCTAATCTCTTGTTAACGATTGAAAGTGTTCTATCTGACTCAATAATTAAAAAAACAAATGCGTGGTTTATTAATATGGCTGTACAATATACCAATGCAGAATATACCGATATGTTACTGACATTAGGAATTTGTGAAGGAAATGCTCGAGAGAGTGTCAGGGTGTACTCTGAAAGGTTTCCAAATCGTCGTGTACCTAGCCACACTTTTGCTGCTGTTCAAAGACGTCTTCGGGAGACCGGTTCCTTTGCTCCCAACACTGTTGATAATGAAAGAGAACGTTTTGTAAGGATTCCTGAAGTTGAAGAAGACATTTTAGAACGTGTTGAAGAAGATCCAGAAGCACCAGATGAATTGGAAGGGAACTAGATGTAAGTAAAGATGTTGTTCATAAAGTGCTTGGAGAACAATTGCTATATCCATACCATAAGAAGCCAGTACAAGAATTATTAGTCCATGATCCTCAAATTTATTTGGGTTTTTGTCGATTTGTTAATATGCAAAGAGAAAGAGATCCAAACTTTGTCAAGAAGGTTCTCTTTACCGATGAAGCGGGTTTTACAAGAAGAGGTATAACTAATACCCATAATGAACATGTTTATGCCGTTGAAAATCCGCATGCAATAAAGGTAAACCATTTTCAGCACGAATTCAAAATTAATGTGTGGGCTGGAATAATTGGTAATTTCATTGTTGGTCCTGTCATATTTCCACGAAGATTAACTGGAGAAAATTATTTGGATTTTCTACAAAATACGTTGCCAGAATTGTTAGAAGATTTACCTCTCCAACTTCGGAGAGATATGTGGTTTATGCAAGATGGAGCTCCACCACATTTTTCTTTAAACGTTAGAAACCACTTGAATGAACAATATCCACACAAATGGATAGGCAGAGGTAATGACGCACCTGTAAACTGGCCACTACGTTCCCCAGACCTAACACCGATGGATTACTTTTTATGGGGACATCTGAAATCCATAGTTTACAGAGAACCTGTAGAAAATGAGAAACAACTCTGGCAACGTATTCAAGATGCAATAAACAATCTTAGAGGTGATAAAGAAGTTAGGGAAAGGATACATTTTAATTTTCTTCGACGTATAAATCTTTGTATGCGTGAAAATGGTAAACATTTTGAACAATTTTTGTAAAATCTCTATTTTGATTATGTTGTAAATAAATATTTTTGTGAAACCTATACACTCTAAATTATTAAAACAGAAATTTAGCGAAAACCATAAGTGTAATCAAGTTGTATCAGGAGTGCCTTTTTTAAAGTAAATGAGTTGCGCAATCTAAATTTCATACTCAAACTCCTTTTCTTTCATTGGAGTAGAATTTTTAAAGCTGCAATTATTTAAAAAATCAAGTTCTACGCCTATGCCACATTAAACTCTACCAATATACCAAATTTCAGTAAAATCGCATAATGCCGTTTTAAATTTATATGGGAAAAACGATTTAAAAATTGTAACTTCAAGGCTCTCTGGAGCCCTAATGAAGCAACTTTGTACTAAGGTAATTTTACTTAAATCAACTTATTTTGGTCTAAGGAATATGTGGTATGTTTTTGTAAAGACCTTTTACAGACACCCTGTATAAAACATGTTTTAATGATATTATTTAAGACAAAGTAAAGATGTTTTAGGAAGTGAACAATAATCTTTAATGAGAATAATGAAAGAATAACAGTAAAAAATATGATAAATTTTAAACTGTATAGAGATTAAGTAGTTATGTCCCTCACATATTTAATAACGATTTATTTTCAGTCGTCAATAACTTCAGTAATAAGTATAAAACATACCTGTGGGAAACCACATGTGCATTAATTCTCCAACAATTCTGCCAAAAGCAGCACCTATTTTGAATACTGGGATGAAACTTCCACTGGGGACTGGAACCGTGGAACATATTATTGAGAAGAAGAACTAAAATAAATTATGCATATATAATTCAGTTATGTTTTTTATGCCTTGATACGTTGATTTCAGCGTTACTGATATTGGAATAAGTGTAAGATCAACTCGGGGAAGTGCATACCTTCAATTTTAAAGTTAACTTTAAAATCAAGATAAAAACTAGAGATCATCGTAATATATAGTTTTTTAAGCATACTAATATTTTTACAATCTTAAGTAATGATAATCCGAAAGTATTTTTACCTGAAAATTTGGATTTATTACAAAAAAATAAATTGGTCGCAATCTCACAGAACCTCTTTCTTTCTATTTAGATGCTCATGATGATTGTCCGAGGCAAGAGCAAAAAATATGTAAAATTTCGAATCGGTCAGTTTTTGCAGAACTTAATTATCTGTAATATTAAGAAAGATATAGTCAAATTAATATTTTGTTTTTAAATCTTAAGATTTTATTAGAAAAATCTAAACTTTTAGAAAACATTTAGAATACAAAATAACTGTTATACAAACTTTGGTAGATACTTTTAACATAACAAATATTTATTCTACGATTGGCACAGGGTCTTTAAATACATAGCGGCCTTTAGAATCCATCTCAAAGTCCGAAACATCTGTATTCATAATCTCATGCATTGGGACGGTGTCTTGATCAGTCTTATGGAACTTGAAAGTCTTCTTCTCTTTATCTACAGAGCGTAAATATTTAACAAAACACTCTTCTGAATCATATATTTCTTTGATTGCTCCTAGGTAAATTTTCACAGTTTTTTGGTAGATTAATACTTGACTAGAACGAAATCCCCTGGTTTTCTTGGCACAACCGAAGCTTCAGAAGGATCTTATTTATTATTGGAGTTAAGAACTTGATCAACTGTTTCAAACGAACAAATACCAGTTTCTGCAACTTCCAAAGTTATTGATTGTTTTCGGGATCACTAATTTCCAATTCTGTCTCGAGATGGTCGTCTATTTCAAACTCTGTTTCAGTAGGTATTTCTTCTCCAAAATCTTCATCAGATTCATCAATGCACATATTAAATGGCAGTTCTTTCTCATCAGAGGATGATGACAATTCAAACTTCGATTTTTTCTTTTGATTCTCTTTTGTATTTTTTGGTTTTTTATTCTTGGCGTTCTGTTCCTTTTTTGTTATTTGTTGGTTTTCTTTGTTTTCTTTCATAGCTTTCTTTTGCTTTTCGACGTCCTCCTTGTCTTTAAAAATGTTCATACACTCCTGAGATGTGATGACTTTTGAACAAACTTTGGTATTTTTAGTTGATGTACCTCTCTGATTATGGGACGAAATAGTTGATAGTAGCAATTTTTCGAAAGTATTGAGAGAGTTTTGCACCTGCTCTAGGTTGCTTCCCGATGAGGTAGCGTCATGAATTTCGACGGCTTTAACCTGGTCATTTTTGTTTTTTTCAAAACCTGCAACCATATTAGTTTTAGGTGGTAAGAGATGATCAATTTCGGATGCTTTAACTTTGTCCATTTCGGGTGCTGCAACTTGGTCTAGTTCGGGTGCTGCCATTTGATCAGTTTCGAGCTGCAATGATTTCCATCGTTCCAAAGATAGTTGGTCAAAATTTTCTTCAGGAATGATATATTTATTAAACGGGAAGAAGCCAGCTTTCCTGAATCCACCCAGGCAGCACACTTTGGTATAAATAACGTATTTTTTTAGGTACTACCATACGTATGAATACGGTTGATGTACTACCAAATATATTCGTGAAAATGTCCGCCTTATAAACGTCGATTACTAAGAATTTATCCACCTATAATTAAACGTTTTTACTATACGTTTATATTAGATTTATAGTTGTAGTATATTTATACGAATCCACTTTGGTATAAAATACGTTTTTTTATGTACTACAATATACGTACCTATGTATACTGTTGATATGCTACCCAATATATACGTGAAAAATAAGTATGCTTCTAATAACTAGGTAACCTAAAAAATACGTATAAATATAAAAGAAACAAAAGTAAGGTTAGGTTTTGAAGTTTCTATAAGCATTTAACACACTGTACGTACATATAAAACAGTAGTTGTTGTAAAATGCAACAATTATTAAAGGAGTAGCTAAATTAAAACATTAATAGAAACTTACCTATGCTTTTAATCAATATCGTAAAAGCCAGGACGCCAAAGCAACATGTAACAAAACGTGTACACAAATGAAAATGGACCAACCGATGAACCTGCTCCCACAAACCATTCCCTACACTAAACAATAATACTACACATACGCATGAGTAGGAATGAGAAAAGACCGTACCACTAGTACATTTAATAATGTCCGTATCGAAGTTCTTCCATAGTTCTCCTATTTTTATCGTCATTGATCGTTTCAAAATTTTCTGACAGCCTTGTAGTCTCAACCTTTTGCAGAGCTATTCATCCCACGATAATTTGATGGACTTAAAAACTGCCAGATCGAGGGGCTGAAGGGGCTTGAATAAGGAGGCAGTAAAATAATTATTACGAGGTTTTTCGCAGCCAATTCCACTAATTTTAAACCAATGTGAGTTGCATGACCGTCGTAGATGAGAAGAACGGGATTACTAGGGGACGGCTTTGCTGCTTTTACAAAGGAATGTTCAAAATAATTCAGGAATACAGAAGACTCCATCCAGCCATTTTGAGTAGCGGCAAATGTTGAATCGGGAAATCCTTCATCTTCGTTAGGAACCCATAGGTTGTAAACGTCTTTTCCTTTGAAAATGAACAATGGAGGACATTTGTCTCCAGTTGCACTACAAGCCAGTAGGACAGTGTTTTCTCTGCTAGGGCCACTAACAGTTCTTGTAGCAGGCAGTCTTTTTCGTCCTACTATTTTAGTTTTAGACGGATCGCAACTAAATGCCGATTCATCAAGGTTCCAAACATTTTTTGATTTAATATTGAGTTCTTCCAAAGTTAGTTTTAGTTGGTCAAAATAATTGAATATGACAAAAGCATCTTGACCTTTTTTTCGGAAAACTTTCACATTTTGCGGTTTTTTAATGCCCAAGTGTTGTCTTTTTTTAAAACCTGACCACCACTCTTCTCCAGGGAACTTATTCTTGAACGGGTTTTGGATCTTTTCTTTAATTATTTAATCGCTCACCAGTTGTAAAACATTTTTCTTTGACAAGCCGTAGCCATATTTTTCCATTAGTTTTATGAGTCTACCCAATTTATCTTCTGTTTCTGAAGATAAAGCTGTCTGTCTCCCAAATGTTTTTGACTTCACACCCCTTCTGTTTTTAACATGGTCAGTTATGGTAGCTTTTGGAATAGAATATCTTTCTGAAGCCTCTTTCAATGTCAGTCTTTTAGATATTACGCCATCAACTGCATTTTGGATGTCTTGAGGGAACTTTGGCCTTTATTCGTTTTTCTTTAGTAATTGCGCACCATTTTGGCTCTAAAAATCAAAACAAAAGCACTTTCATAAAATAATTTAAAAAAAGCGCCAAAATTAGACAAAGGGGGAAGTGCATACGCGTCTGCACTTTCCCCATGGTGTAAAAACGCACTTACCTCTTAACCTATTGTGGAGGGGAAAGAGCATATTTGCTAATTTTATCCCTAATATGATTAAACAATGTGAAAACAATATCAAAAATTAAAAACACGATTTAAAATTAAGCTGCTTACCATATTTTGAAAAACAAAAATTCACTTTAGAATGGATAAAAAGTACAATAAACGGAGCACCACATGTGTAGAATGAGATCTAAATTGAGACTGTTTTGACAGATGCACAAAGCTTGGTCACGTGAGACGCAGTGTAGCCAAACTAATTATCACACTAAACGAAAATATCCAAGGAACACACAAAAATACCAACTGCTGCATAAAATGAACCATTATTATTATCAGAGCAGGAAAATGCACTTCCCCCGAATACGCACTTCCTCGAGTTGACCTTATTTTAAAAATTGCTTACTAGTTATATTTTATAATAGCATGTTATCGACCCTGTTAGTGCTTTCAATACAGTTAAAATTCACAATTCGAACATTTGAGAATATTTTAAGAGGAGTACTTGCTTGACTTTAGAGCAATTTTTAAAAGGGTTTTGTAGTACACCACTTTTAAAGTTTATATTTTAGAAAAAAACAATATTTATACATACTGTAAAAGCTGTGTAGCAAGCCAAGCTCACGTATACGCTGGTCCATTCTGTCCTCCAGTGACCCAAAAGCTCTTCATGAGCTACCGTTACATTTGAATTAGTCCATGTGAAGTTACTAAAAAGTGACGCAACTTGACCATGCGTATTTAAATCACCTGCTATAAACTGGCCAGTACCTAGGGGAAACGTTGCAGTTGATACCAATAATGATACTAAAGCTGGGTACAGAAATCGACTAAAAATAAAAAGTTATTAATGGAAATACTCTATTATACAAAGAATTTAAATGTATAGACTAAAAAAATGTTCTACTAACCTTTGTTTTAAAAAACCGTTTATAATTTTGCTATTTCTCATAAACATTACATACTGCCTATGCATCCAAACATATACAGCGCCACCTAGACCACAAATAGCTCTGAAATCAAGAAATTGTTACAGTATAAGAACCAACTGCTTAAAATACGCAAATAAAGTAAGGCCATTATTCTTTTTGGCGTGTCAAAAAATAGTAATTTTGTTAAAATATAGACATCACCAAATTACGAATAGCAATATGCAATACTCATTTATTAACTTTTTTCAAAGAGCTTAAAGTATTTTAAATCGGCAATGCTTACATATTTGCAAGGTATTTGTCGTGTTTCTAGGGAGTTGTACTTAGGGCTTTCAAACAAATCTGGTTACAGAATAACCCTCTAGAGTGCATCTTCAAAGACTAGAAGGTATGTATTAAAATAGAATACACAATTATTAAGTAAATCAAAACCACAAATGACAATTGGGCAATACCGCAAGATCTCAGAGATCCAACATACTACGACTGATAATGAATGGGGCAATGCTTTCTGAAACTTATACAATTTTAAGTTAACGTAAATCAAAGCCTATGATATTAACAAAAAATTAACTAATAATGCTTACCCCATCAATGCAAATACAAATAGTTCTTGAGGATCGAATGGAAAGTCCATGTAGAAATTAGTTTTAAATACTGCACTCACTGTATCCAGCCTTTGAAACCAGACTGCTAATAATCGAAATGTAGTTGCACCACAAACTGCAGCGAAAAACCCCCTCCAGTAATTTCTCACAGCAAAATAGGTAGTTGTTACTTCTATACTAAAGAGTACACCTGACAAAAGTTAAATGATTGGTATAACATAGATAAATATTCTTAACTTAGAAAACTTAGAAATCTCGAGGTAAAAAAATTGTTGGCATACATGAATTTACTTTTTATGTCTATTTAATTAAAGACAAAATTAATAGTTATTTGTATAATATGGGAGAGGACGTAGTTTTTATCCTAATTTTATCAGAAACCAACCTATACATTCAGTTATTTTCATTAAAAACTAGAATGAAGATACATAATGCATTCTTTATAATACTTTTCACAGTTAAACAAACCCCCTTTAAACCCTCCATTTTTATTCAGATTTTTTCAAAATCAATAGGCTTCATCTCCCTATAAAAACTTTATTTTTCCAAAAGTTGATATCGTTTTTTGTATCCGAGTTAGGGTTTTATTTTACTATTTTATTCCCTCTTAACCCCCTATTTTTATTCAGTTTTTTTTTTTAGAATCAATAGGCTTTATCCTCTTATAGAGCCTGATTTTTACTTAACATTTTATGTTAATATTGCTTTTCGTCTTTGATTCCTGATTTTAATTTTAACCCTCTTAATTTCTCTATTTTTAATAAGTTTTATTTTTTTTTTAAAGGGGACGAACCCTTATATAACTTGATTATTTCTAAAAATTTCAAGTTGATATTGTTCTCCATTTTTAATTTATTTTTGTTTTAAATTTTAACCCCCCTTAAACCCCCATTTTTAATTAGATTATTTTAAAAATCAATAAGCATTGTCCCATTGTAGAGCTTAATTTTCCCAGAAAATTTCAAGTTGATATTGTTTTTTGTACACGCACTTCATTTTCCTAAGCCTAGGGGTTCTATATATGGACCTTTTCTGGAGTGAGGGCGTAGCAGGGACGGGGGATGTTAGACAGTTTGAATTTATTTCAGGCGAGCCCTATGGTCCCGCTTTTAGTGGCCGAGGAAGAGGGGGAAGTTGGAGGAGTGGGAGAGGGAAAACGCTTAGTGTTGGTTTCATAAATTTTGTAAATAATCCTATTTGTCTTGGTTATATATCTTTGATTAAATCTTTGGAAAGTCCTACACAGGCCGACAAAAGTTCAAAAGGTTCATATACAAGATAATTTTCAAGACTAGTGTATAATAAAAGCGGGTGGACATGGGCTATTAATTTATAATTAAAGTAATGAATATTTTAAAATATATATCTACCTGCATACCTCCAACTGGAGCTGCAAAACAGCTGGCAACTCCAACAGCACAAGCTGCTGCTAACATTTCGCTTGTTCTATTTTCGTTTTCGTAGATACCTTGGAATCCTGTTACAAGTTTGCTTAGTAGAGTAGCTGTAATACTGGCAATGTGCACGAAAGGACCTTCTTTTCCTAGGGGCATACCGCTACCTAGGGTTGCTGTGAGACCTACAGCTTTTGCTATTAAAGTTCGAAATGTTAAATATTCTTTTAAGGTAACTCCTCGAAGAATGGTTTTCATTTCGGGAATACCAGAACCTAAAATATTAGTTATTTGTATTAAACATATTATACGTAATCCAAAGAATCATTTGCAAAGAGTCATTTGTAATTCAATGCACCAAAGATTATCATTATGTTATAAACTGGTATTACTGAAAGTTTCTACTTACCAATTGATTGTGGTGCTACTAACTGAACAAATCCGGTGCTGAATAGAATAAGACAAAGTGGAAGAGATATCCATGCTGCATATTGGGCTGCAGGATGTAATGTAAGATCTCTGAATAACCACAATCTTGCTAAAAAAGAAATAATAATATCATTAAAAAATATAAATATAAAAATTGTTATATCATGATAATAATGACCTATTCTTTTAGTCGAGGTCGGCCATACGTATTTTCCCTTACAGTTTGGCCTATTTTACGCCATTTCAATCTCGATACTAGTCATATCCATATCAATATTAATATGATCTTATAATATTTTTTTTGTTATGTCCTCTTACTGCTTCTTACGGCATATTGTTTCTAGTGGGGTATTCCTTTATATTCTCTGAACATGTCCAACCGTCTAAACCTATTGTTTATTATCTCCTTACTCATAGGAAACATTCTTAAACTACCCCTAACGTCATTTCTAATTTTATCGAATCTTGTGATTCAGCTTCATCTTCGCAGGATCAGCTACGACTATTTGCTACTGGTGTATGTTTTTCACCGTCCAATATTACGATGCGTATAAGATTATAAAAATAATTAAGGTGGAAAAAGAAGTCTAGCATGCGTACAAAATTGTTTGTAAAAATAATTTAATGTTAGAGTAATATTCAAATATAAATTAAACCATCATGTAACAGAGTTAAATCAACCAGAATGATATTCACTTGTCACATTCAATGGAGCAAACATGTTAGCTGAAAATAAGTTTAATATTTCCTATTATAAATTTAGTTGTGTACTTTTATAATTAATATTGGGCATTGAATTTTTTTCGTTCCCAGCATTGTATGGATATAATTAAAATATATTAATAGGTGAGTGAGAATGCCGAATAACAAATTGACGTTAATTCTATTAAATTATAATTTATGGATGAAATATTTATTACAGTTTATTAAATACTGTTAATTCTACGATAAACTTTGTTTGGTTATAGCTAGTTGCTGATTACTCTTCTTATTATTATTTTTATTTAAAGAATATTTATTACAGTTTATTAAATACTATTATTTCTTTGATAAACTTTGTTGGGTTATAGCTAGTTGCTGTTTATTCTTCTTATTATTTTTTTTATTTAGAGAATTTTATTTTTATAAATTGTGTTTAAATATATAATCAAATAATTTTTTATTCAACTGCTAACTCTCCTAGCATTGGCACTTGGTTGACATGACTTATTACATTTGGTGTCACATGAAGCCTTTTCGAGATCTGAATTTAGAGTCTTTGAAAGGTCGTCCTCTTTGAGTAAGCTACGTTATAATAGTATTTGACTGAAGCAACCAGAGAGAAATGGGTCACAAAACGAGCCTAATTCAAAAGAGGATAAAAAAATAAATTTAAACAAATTAATAGTTACCACTGTCACAAATCGATATCCCTCTATCCATCAGGAAGCTGAGGATCGCCATTATAATTCCTAACAATGCTAAAAATACCCAGTCTTCTCCCAGCTTTGCAAAAGTATGTCTCCATAACAACGAAATGGATTTGGAAAATTTTCCTGAAAAACATTTAATATAAGAAAAAAATTTATTCGAAAATATCAGATGTGCTACTAAATACTAAATATTGGTACGTTGGTTTTTGGTAAACTCGATTAATTATTAACAACTCAACTTTTACCAAAAAGAAGATCATGGGGAAGCTTTATCTTCCGTCCAGTAATCAATATAGATGGTGTATAACTGGTCAATTCATGTTCAGAACTTCGGTAGGCTAGCAGAAATAAAGGAGTTAAAATGTCCTAGTCCTTTTGCTTTTTAAAGACGAACAATAAAAGATACTGGCATATGGTACTATGGTATCTTCCTACCATTCCGTCGGACTGTGAGTGGAGAGACGTAGTGCTTGTTTTGCAAATGCCTAAGAATTTCCACAATTTTTATCATAATTTGGATTCAACATTACGCCCTTGGTTAGAATTTAATTCAGAGGAACTCCACGTCTCGCTATGACGTTCGTCATGAATGCTTCGGCTACTGTCGTCGCTTTCTGATTAGGAATAGGCGCTATTTCGGGATACTTTGAAAAATAGTCGATCAAGTATTTGTTTCTCCTCTCTGTTAAGGAATGTGGCCCAAAGATATCTATGGCGATTCGTTCGAAAGGCTTTTCATAAAGGTACTGTGCCATTTTACATGGGCTTCTTGTTTTAGGCCCTTTTATGCCATTGCAGTTATGAAGAAACTGTTCCCATGGAAACGCTTGTTATGCTAACGACTAAACAAAAACCTAAATCTCGTGGTGAGGAAATGCGTAGTTGCCAAGTAGTGGTTAGCTCGTTTTCCTCTATAGTAGTTAGAAGGTGGATGGGTGGAAGGAGCGTAGCGTGATCTTACGATATAGGTGCAAAAAAGGCGCGCCCGTTTCTCTCGCTTTGCTAGGTACTGGTTAGGAGGTGGGTGGGAGGAGCGTAACGTGATCTTATAATTTAGATGGAAAAAAGACATGTCGGCTAGGTGCGCTCGCTTCACTCCTCTGTAGTAGTTAGGTTGTGGGTGAGAGGAGCGAAACGTGATCTTATGGAGAAACTGTCGCCATGGAAACGCTTGTCATGCTAACGACTAAACAAATCCCGTAGTGAGAAAATGCCTAGTTTCAAAGTTATAGATGGTTTCGTATTTACTTTAGTTTAGATTAGGATATTGTGTTAAGAGTTAATCTAAATATAAGAGAGAATTACGTATTTCCTCACCACCGGATTTAGGTTTTTATTTAGTCGACATCACGATAAGTGTTCCTATGACAACAGTTTCCCTATAACCGATTTCAGCTAAACTAAAGTGAAAATGAAATGACTTGTAATTTGCCAACTATGCATTTTCTTACCACGGGATTTGGGTTTTTGTTTAGTCGTTACCATGACAAGTGTCTCTATGGCAACAGTTTCTCCGTAACTAATTACAGCTAAATTAAATTATCTGTAACTTGGTAACCACGCATTTCCTCACTATGAGATTTGGGTTTTTGTTTAGTCGTTACTATGTCAAGCGTTTTACCATAACTGATTTCTTCTAAACCAGAGAGAATATTAAATAATCTATAACTTGGCAACTATGCATTTCCTCACCACGAGATTTGGGTTTTTGTTTACTGGTTACCATGGCAACGGTTGCCATAGCAACAATTTTAACGTAACTGATTTCGGCTAAACGAAATTTGACCCCAAAATCTTGGTGTGGTGCGCCATATCGAATAATAGTGTTTCACAGCCTTATGTTGGAAGTGTTTGTGGTGAAGCCATCAATGCTGACATTTACATCGGTATATATCTTAACGGAATTTTATTGATACTCATCATCGCAACTGCCAAATAATATTCTGGCCTGATTTAGCGTCGTCTCACTACGCCAGAAGAACAACAGACTGGTTAGCTGCAAATGGTATCAATTTTCTTCTCAAGTACGACAGCCCTTCAAATGTGCCTCAGGCGAGACCCATTGAAGATTTTTGGTCTATAGTGAGCAGAAAAGTGTACGATAGCGGTTGGGAAGCCCAAAATAAGGAACAACTAAGGCGCAGAATATACCAGAAAATCCGGGAAGTCGACATCGCTACCGTCTAAAGCAGTGGTCGCCAACCTGTCGATCGCGAGCTACCGGTAGCTCGCGGAGGCAATTCTGGTAGCTCTCACAACGATTTTAATTTAAAAAATACAAACTGCAAAAATCAGAGAAGCTTCCGAAAATTCCACAAAAAAATCTAATTGTCATAATATTAAACATAAACAGCGGCAACGTTGCGGTGAGCGATCTGCCGCTGACGCCATCAAGCTAGAATCGGCTAGAACCGACCAGCCGGACCAGCGCGTTAGTGTTCGAGGACGATCAGGATTGCTTTGAACGGGATAAATACGCACGGCGTGGCGACATTGCATTGCGCTTAGTTTAAAACTGAACGCGTAACCAACGTCCAGCGGTTGGGTTAGTAGAGAACAACAAAAAATAATATTATGGCAAGCAGTTGTAAGAAGGTAAAGACATACCACTTTCATTCGGAATGGAAAGAACAATACTTTTTTACAGAAGTTAAAGATAAAAATGTGTGTTTGTTATGTAATACTTCGGTCTCCGTTGCTAAAAAAGGAAATATTGAGAGATATAATAAAACTGTACATTCTAATTTTGAAAAATCATTCCCACTACATTCTGCCGCCAGAAAGGAGAAACTGAAACAGTTAAAAAAGCAGTTAATTGGACAACAATCAATATTTTTAAGAACAGTCGACAAAAATAAGGCTGCAACTGAAGCATCGTACCGTGTGTACCAGATAATTGCACAAAAAAAGAAACCTTATGAAGACGGGGAAATGATAAAACAGGCGTTTTTAGAAGCTGCTGATTCGTTATTTGCCAACTTTAGAAATAAAGACGAGATACTTTCAGCTATAAAATCTATGCAACTTTCTGCTAATACAGTGATGAGACGTGTAGAAGTAATGAGAAATGATATTTTTCTACAGTTAAGAACTGACTTAGATAACTGTGTTTATTTTTCACTTCAACTGGATGAATCAACAGAAGTCGTTGACACTGCCCAGATGGCTGTGTTCGTCAGGATGGTTTTTAGTGATTTTACGATTAAAGAGGATCTTTTGAAGTTTATTCCACTAAAAGGACACACAATTGGACAGGAGATATTATTTCTTCCGAGAAAATTCCAATATCGAGAATGGTAGGCTTGACAACCGATGGCGCTCCAGCTATGGTGGGTTGTGATAAGGGTCTGGTGGCGTTATGTCGTAAAGATGAAACTTTTCCGCAATTTCTCTGTTACCACTGCATTATCCATCAGCAAGCATTATGTGGAAATTTCCTGAAACTAAACAACGTTATGAAACTGGTGGTAAAAATTGTGAACAAGATTAGAGCTCAAGCGTTACAAAGAAGATTATTCAAAACCTTGGCCGATGAAGTTGACTGTCAATACGGGGACCTACTCCTTCACTCTGAAGTCCGATGGTTAAGTAGAGGACGGGTGCTGAAACGTTTTAATGATGTCCTATCTGGCATAGTTCAATTTTTTAAACAACGCGATGAACCGACTCCGGAACTAGAACATTCAATCTGGCTTAGAGATTTTGGTTTTCTCGTGGACATTACAGATAAATTGAACGAACTTAATTTGCAGCTTCAGGGGAGAGACAAAGAACTAGCGGAAATGATTTCTGATATAATTAATAATAAATAAAATAAAATAACTTTAATTATCAATAATATACAATTATTCAAATTCAATATACAATATACAATATGCAATATGCAGTATACAATAGGCAATATTACAATAATAGAATACATAATACAAAATTATAAAATACAAATTTACCCACTATACTTGATAAATAAAGTATTAGTCGATAAGTAATACATACTTGTTTCGACAAAAATAACAACAATAATAATAATAACAAAAGAATAATAATAATCATAATAAGAATAATAATATCAATAATACTAATAATAATAATAATAAAATCAATTCTAAAACGACACTAAATCTTAATAGTGTGCGAGAGGTAAGATTATATTGTACAAGAATATTTTTATTTATTTTTATTTTTATGTTAATTTTCTATTATGTCTGAAAACAGCTTTCTTTCAGTTTGCAATATATACTTTTTTAACTTTTTTTTTAAATTAAATTTAGTTTTTATGGTTTTTAGATCACCCGGTACGTAGTTATATATTTTATTAGATATGTATAGATATGATCTTTGTGTTAAGGATTTTCTTACAAACGGTGGAATTGTTTGATTTACTTTTCTCGTAGAATAAGAGTGTATGGAAGTAAGTTTGTTTCTGGAAAAGTGAAATTTAACATTGACTGCTAAAAAGAATAACTGCCTCAGATCCATAATTTGGCTTTCTAAAAATAATCGCTCAGACGAATATCTATGACCTTTACACATAATTATTTTTAAGAACCTCTTCTGCAGTATTTCTAGTGGATTTATGTGTACTCGCAATGCACTTCCCCAGACTGAGATACAATATCGGAGGTTACTCTCTACTAGAGATGAGTATAGTGTTTTCATCGTCTTTATGGGTAGGTATTTGTTTAAATATTTAAATTTATATAGAATTGTTTGTAGTTTAGTTATTATGTGTTTTATTTGTTTATCCCATCTGAGGTGTGTGTCTCTAATTATACCAAGGTATTTAATACTAGTCACAGAATTTATTGATAAGACTTTCCCCTGGTCACATATTTTGAGAGAGGTAAAAGGCGCTATATTGAATTTGTTGCAACTAAATGGTAAGAAATTAGTTTTTTCCATATTAATTGTTAGGAGTCTATTGTTGAACCATTTTTTTATTAACTCAAAATCTTTTTCTGTTGTGGACTTTAATTCTGCCCAATTTTCACCCTCGTAAAATACCGCAGTGTCATCGGCATAGCCTAAGATTTGACCTGTTGTGTTGAGAGAGAAAATATTGTTAATATACAGGTTAAAGCGAATAGGACCCAAGACTGTGCCTTGTGGTACGCCATAGCTAATATTATTTTCTCTACTTGTTGCGCCTTCAATTTTAACTACTTGGGTCCTATTGTTTAAATAACTCTGTAGAAGTTTCAGACACTCACCTCTGAATCCTATTTCCTCTAAGGTCTCTAATAGCATCGGATGACTCACCGTGTCAAAAGCCTTGGTAAGGTCAATAAATAAACATAAACACGGGTTTCCCTTTTCTAAAGCATTATGTATTTTTTCTGTTAATGTTAGTACTGCATCTTCGGTAGATGATTTTTCTTTAAAACCAAATTGTTTCTTTGAAATCAGATTATATTTATTTATAAATTTCATCATTCGGTTTTTAAGTAGTTTTTCAAATATTTTTGACAGATTAGTAATGAGCGATATGGGACGATAATTGGTGACTATGGTTTTATCACCTCTTTTGTAGATAGGTATGACAATAGTTTTTTTAAATGATTCGGGCCAAGTGCCACTCGTGAAGCAAAGATTTACAATATAATTTAAAGGTTCAATCAAGAAGTGAGCTATTATTTTTAAAGTTTCTGTTTGTATTTGATCAATACCAGTTGATTTTGTATTTTTAAGATTAATAATAATATCGCTTATTTCTGTTGGAGTTGAAGGGTATAAAACCATAGTATTTGGGAGTATAAGCCTATTTTGCTTGTAGTTAGCATCTACTATTATTTGTTCCGCCAATGCCTTACCCACATTAGCAGCATTTATCAAAAAGCTGGAGTTTTGGGAATAAAACCTAATTAACAGCGATGCCAAGCATTTCCTATTTTTTCAGAAAAAATATCTCAAAATCCATTAGAACCCTATATATGACAGCAAATATCATGTAGAAATAGTTTCTACCCTGAAGAATAACTTCAAAAATCGTTTTAAGGATTTCAACGAAATGGCTTTAGTAGCGCAGTTTGTTGTTTCACCCTTTATGGAAATTGATATCCAACAGTTTGCAACTTGTTTATGCAGAACTTTGGCGAAGACATCGCTGCAACAGAAATGGAAGTAATTGAGTTTCAAAATGATTTAGCCTTAAAATCGTTAGTCTCAAGTACCAAATGTATCTGGCCTATTGTAAGTAAAGACAAATATTCAGTTCTATGCCGTGTTGCCTTGAAAGTGAAAGCATTATTCAGTTCAACCTATTTGTGTGAATCTTCTTTTTCCAATATGAAGTTTATTAAGAACAAATATCGCAATCGACTTACAGATGAACATTTGGATAATTGTATTCGAATGGCTGTATCAAATTAAACTGCAAACATTAAAAAAATTATCGATGAGTCTGAGTGTCAGCCTTCTCATTGAACGTGCTTTTTTATTTTTCAATGTTTATGTTCATGATAGTGCGTTACTTTTTTGTTGTTATTATTAACTATTTTTAAATCTTACGTGACATGCCGTTTTAACTGGATAAAAGTTTGTGTTTATTTTTCAAACACCTTCGTTTGGTAGGTAGGAATGTAGCTATGAACAAGTACGTAGTAGTAATATTAGTTATTTTGTTATTAGTTTATTATTAGTACCTATGTATTATGTATTACCAGTTTAATAGTAAAATAAAAAAATATAATGATAAATTAACTGTGGATTATTTCATTTACGTTGCGTTACGTGGCTTCCGTGTGGGTAGCTCGCTGTTTATTCCAAAATTAACAAAGTAGCTCAACACATTGAGAGGTTGGCGACCACTGGTCTAAAGACTGATGGCACATGTAAGGACTATATTACGTGCAATAGAAGAGAGTGGACCATTATTTGTCATGTGAATATTTAGTAGAAATAAGAATTAACGCAGTTATTTAGTCATGTTGTTAAAATACCAAATAAATTAAAAATTTTATCAAATTTTTTACCATTAATTTTTTCCTTAAACTTTTGAGACATACATTAGCTTTACTATATTTGGCTACCTCTTGCCAAGTAGGTCTCTATTTTTGAGTCATTCTCGGACAACCTTCAAGTTATTGTCTTTCTTTTGTCCCTTTCTCCGGCTTTTACGGGTGATTTACTCTTCGTCGCCCTCTGACTTTATAGTGGTTGCCTGAAGACTAACTTCTTCAACCGGTTCCTCTTGTTCTTTGAGCCTTCTATTTTTCGCTTCCATCTTCAAAAACCATGCTTGGGGATTTGAAGTATCCATGTCTGTTTCGTACTCAGTGGATCTAGTATTTACCATGAACTTTTATTTTGGATTCCACCGTTATCACCAATGTTATGCTGGTTTTTGGTAAACTCAATTTATTAACAACCCAACTTTTACAATTCACAACTATTAATAGTAACGTGCAACGTCTATCATAAAACTCAACTGCGACGTCAAGATCATCGACTTATATAGCTTCATTCCAGATGGTTCTTGACACGTAATTACATTTCTAGAAATTTCTAGACTGTTATCTCTTCTTCTTCTGTTTCTTCTTCTGCTTCTTCTTCTGCTTCTTCTTCTGCTTCTTCTTCTGCTTCTTCTTCTGCTTCTTCTTCTGCTTCTTCTTCTGCTTCTTCTAATTCTTCTTGTTCTTCTTCTTGTATTCGTTCTTTTACTTATAGCAATCGCAGCACACTGTACGGTGATGTTATTGTTACGCCCTTTTACAGTTTCTATATCCAGGTTTCTTCTCTATACCCTCTTTGTCGTTGGCGTTGGTATTTGAGATTGGAATTAGAATTTGGTTTTTCAAATATTCCTGAGTATCATTAGTGTTATGTTTTTTTCTCTTCTAATCCTGTTGATTTTATCTGTTCCATCCAGTTTTCTTATAGATACCCTTCTCGGCCTCGCAGAATCTCTTTGCCATAGTTTTTTTCATGGAGGTAAAAGGTAGGGAGACGCTGTCACGTGGTCTAAGACGGGTTCACTTCTGCCATATTGTGCTAATCTTGGTTTCAATCAACGGTTTTTTAATTTTTATTTCGTTTGCAAACTAAATATTTTGTACATATCAAAAGTTAAATAATGGTAGCTTGTGCTCAACGTAGTTATAGAGGCCTAACAGATATTTATACGAAAAACATACAACATACAACATAGTTAACAAGGTGTAGGGAAATTGAGATGTTGATTATTGTGCTTTGAGTGAGAGTGTTGCAACCGCATAAGGTTTTTGTAAAGATCAAGTAAAAAAGAGAGAATTCGCTGGAGCTGCTGCAACAAATTTGATTTAAAAGGATGATAAATAATCTCTTTGGTATCTTAAATTCTAAAAATTTTCTTTTGTTTCATCATAAAAAGCTTTTGTCTGTTAAACAAATTATAATGGTATAGAAATTTTCTTAAAGTATATTAGTACCCTAAAAACACACATTTTAATTTTAGTCACAGACTGACATTTATAGTTTTTACCAATGTGCCAAATATCTCAAGGCAGTTAATTTCTATTTTGAATTTTACTTTATTGCTAGTTTTAACGGATAAAAAGTATTTGCAAAAAACTCTTACCTTGAAACCCTCTGAATTCACGTTTTCGAGCTTTTTCATCTTTTATACGTTTTTTCTCCGCTGCTTTAAGTGACTCCAATCTTGACAATTCACTCAATTGTTTGTTATATCGACCATACATCTAAAAAAGATAATCAAGACTTAATGAGCCCAACAAACATTGAAGTTGTTGGCCCTTTAACGAATGTGATGGCAAAACTTCTTTATTTGAAAAAAAAAAAACACTAAAACACACCAATTCTATCTTTAATCGGTTTGTTTAATTGACTTTGCTTGAAATAAAGGCGATTAAGTATAGAAACTCAAAATTTAATAGTTAAAATTTGATAGAACGAGAGGTATTTAAAAAGATTATTTTTTGAATCATTTTGCACAATAAACATATTTGGAAGCCTTTTTTAAACATAAATATTTGCTGAAAAATTCCAATTTATCAATTGTGACCAATTTAAAATAAAATAGAATGAAAAGAGAAAAAAATCTCATAGACCATGTCACAGCAAAGTTAACTGTCGAGCGTCCCTTTCCCTCCAAAGTATGACTTTCTTCTAGAGAGTTGAAAATTTTCTAGTTCTGCTCTTCTCTTATTCATCTTGTTACCCTGTACCCTGCAGTAGCCTGCGACTGTTATAGAAAACGTAAGAATACAAAAAGAAGTTGAACGTCATCCATCACCCTATAGTGTGCTGCGGTCGTCATAAGCAAAAGTACGAGTAAAAGAAGAAGATGAAATACTCCAGAAACATCTGGAAATGTAACTCGTTGTCAAGAAAAATCCGGATTGTTCAAGAAGGTTCTAGAAGGTTAAAGCAAGCTATATAAGCCGGTGATCCTGACGTCAGAGTTTCAGTTTTATGATAGACGTTATATGTTAATGTTATCAGTTGTATAGTTAAATTATTATAAAAGTTGAGTTGAAATATACTGAAATACCAAAAACCAGCGTAACAATATAATGCACCGCCTGTTGCGGTATTAGCCAATGGAGGAATTGTTTCTAGGATGGAAAGGGTTGCGCGACAGTCAACTTTGCTGTGACATGGTTTTTAACATTTTTTTCTTTTACTTCTATTTTATATAAATATTTGTTTATTTTATGTAGTATACTCAAACAAATAATGATTGAGAGTGAACCGTGTTGTCATATCTCAATTTTACCTTACTAGTTTTTAGCAGAATCAAAATAGAGTAAGTAGTAGAGTTGTAAGTTGTGGCAAATTATAGATAATATACAATCATAGTACTAATAAAAGATATTAATTATAACAAAAATCAGTAATGAGTAATACTTATACATTTCTTGATCATTTAAAATTAATTATTTTATGGATTGTTCAGTATTTGTTACAACTAATGGCATCGGTGTACGGAGCGATATTTGTGTCTTTGTCTGTTACGCGTAAAATCCATCTCGTCGATGACGTTCTCAGTAGTGTTTTTCTAACCACGAGCGTAACATCGGGTTTTGAATTATACGGTGTGAATTGTAAGTTTTACAGTTAAGTTAGTTAAGTCGTGGAATTACAGTATTAAGGTTACCACCGTACCACTGCGAATTAAACCCAATAGAATTAATCTGGGCGCAAGTAAAAGGATATGTGGCACGAGAAAACAGAACATTTAAATTAGTGGACGTGCAACGTTACCTACAAGAAGCCATTCAAAATGTTTCTGCAGAAGACTGGAAGAAATGCATTCAGCATGTTTTAAAAGAAGAGCAAAAATGTGGGACGTAGACAACCGTATTGAACACAATATTGAACCAATCATAATTAACTTTGATGATAGCGGTAGCAGCAGTGACGAATCTGAGGTTGAAGATTAGAAGAAAATTTGTACACAAAAAGAAGTCTATATATTTAGATATAATTTTTATTTTTACCATTCACTATTACCATTTAGAAATTATTATATAAATTTGTATTTTTAATTCCTGTACACAGACATGAACAATGTCTCAGCAGGATACAAATGTTTATTTATTTAATTATTACTATTGTATCAATTTGTAATATATAAATATACGTTAATTTGTGAAATAAAGTTAAATTCATTATTAAAATAGTAAAATTGATAATATTGTTTCTGTCACCAAACCAACCCCTGATTAGGTATCTTTCTTATTTTTAATTTGAAATATATATTGTGATTTTTATTAATATTCTTAATTTATTTGGTTCCTACTATAATTACCACAATTATTACTCCGTTTTCATAAAGCCCCACTAATGACTACAACGATTAGGTAAATTACGATATTGCAAAGTTTTCATGAAATAAATAAAAGAAATTGTATGAATATTTTAAATAATTGTACCCTCTCAAAAATAATAAGCACGCCTCCGATTTGGTCGTATTTCTACCTGCTTTCACTCTCAATCATTATTTGTTTGAGTTTAGGTAATATAATTTCCTTTATAGTCAAAAAAATATTAAATACGGCAACAGCGTATTCTGTACAGACAGAGTGGCCAGACATCGCATGTGTAGATTACTTGCCTTTTACGAGTTTGACATTTGCCAAATTTTAAAGTTTTGATAATAAATTAAAAAAGGAAAAAATTACATGGGGCCCATTTATCGACGTACACATAAATAACGCCGAGCTGCAGAGATAAGATAGCTTTCTGGAATAACAATGTTTATTATTAACTTTGTTTATTAATTAATATTATTCATTCTTTATTAAACTTTAAGACAGTCATTTAGTTATCATATATTGTATTTTAATTTTAATAAAATACTTTTTAAAAAGTCTTTTTCAGTGTTTGTAAATATATCTAGAAATTTATTATTTTTCTGAAAATATATCTAATACTTTATATTTCTGTTGATTATCTTATCAGGATTGCATGCTACACTGTTTTATCAACGCTACATACTTGGACCTATGGCCCAAATGTTATTTACATATAGTAAAATATTTTAATAAAAAATCAATTGGACTTACATTATGTTCTTGAGAATATATTACCTACGTTTAGATTTTTTGGAAATAATTTTTTGGTAACATTACTTTGATCTGCATTAAAACCATTTAAAGCTACCCAATAGTAGATATATTTTAAATGTTTCTCTTTTTAATTTCACCATTTGCGATAAACTTTTGTCTTAATGTCAAATCTGTTATGGACCGTATTTCCGCGTTCATTAATATTTATAATCATAAAAAAGAAATAAAGTTAAATATATATGTTTTGATCTAATGAGATCTTGGTAAGTATTTTCTAAAAGTAAAGAGGAAAGCTTATAATAAGTTTTTTTTTTTAACAAAATTTAATGGAATACCAAAAAGAGAATTAAGGTATAGCGAGCGATATGGATAGGGATCATAAGGATATACCTAGTAACAAAATTGAGTAAAAATGCTTTATATACTTTTAGCCTAAAATTTTGCCAAATTTTTCATAATTCATTTTCTAAGCGAAAGTCGTCGAATTAAAATGGAAAATGATGCTATACAGGGTGGACCGGATTTAATTTTTGCGTATACAGAGATCTCGTAAACCGTAAGATATACATTGTCGGTTAAATGGGGAAAAAGTTTTGTATTTTGACGGATAATACAATGGTCCATAGAAGTTCCAGATTTTCTGACTGGTTCCGGAGATATTCGATAAAATCCGAAAAACCTCATTTTCGTTTTTTAAGTCGTGCGTTATTATAAAAAATACAAAAAAAATTATACAAAGTTTTTGTTATAAATCAAGTTCCCTATAATTTTCCATATCAAAATTTTTATTACGACGTTTCGTATTTCCAGGGCCACCTTTAACTTATTTTTTTAAATACGGACCTGGATTTTTAACTGTAATTTTTTATAGCTTTTGTATAGCTAAATTCAACGATATGTTACACTTTTCCATTTTACTACGTTTCGTCTATGAGAATATCATCAGCTATGTAAGTAGCTTCTGATGATACCCTTTCCTACTTGATTAAAACAAGATAGCTAATTAAATAATAATTAAAAAACAAAAAAAGCTTAAAATGTAAAATTTTAAATATTATTTGAAACATAATACAAGAATTATTTAATTACAAAATGGGTTACAATTTTTTATCAAACATGATTAAGTACAACCAGCATACAAGACTAATGAAGAACGAATTATGGTTGTACAATTTCTACAAATAATAAAGCTAATAACAAAAACATAAAATGAAAAACAAAACGGTCAAGCAATCTATACATTCCTATCACCTGATTTTCTGTAAAATCTTTCGCTTAGGTTTCTCACACCGTATTTTTTCTATCTTTAATGTTTTCATTTTTGCATACATAAGATCTTAACAAAATCATGTTTGCCATGCATGTCAGTTGTAACTTGTCACCAATATTTCTGTTATAATCTGTAACATCTAATATTATAGTACTTTTTTAGCTTTAAATAATTTAAAATTAAATAAATATTATGGTTCGTTATACTGAAGAAGAGAAGAAAGATATATATGATGTGTACATAAATATATATAGGAATGAAACCCGGTCAGCTCAGACTTATTTAGATTTATATCCTGATAGACAACAGCCATCTAAGAGGATGTTTTCTTATATTTCAAAAAATATGGCAGAACATAGCAGTGTGAAAAAAAGAAGAACTAGATATCAGGATCGACATACTGATAATGAAATTAATGTTCTTGCTCAAATATTAACATATTAACCCTGAAAATTCTACTAGGCGAATAGCTAAAGAATGTGTAGTAGGAACCTCCACGGTTAAAAAAATTTTAAAGAAACATAAATACCACGGGTATAAATTTCAAAAAGTCCAGAAATTACACGCTGGAGACTCTGATAGAAGACTGATATTTTGTCGTTGGTATAGTAGAAAACTGCGCAATGACCGTTCTTTTAACAAAAAGATATTATGGACGGATGAACGCTCCTTTACTAATAGTGGAATATTTAATCCCAGGAGCAAACATTTGTATGCTACTTCTAATCCCCATTTAATCAGAGAAGTTAGACCACAGTTCCGTTTTACCCAAAATGTGTGGTGTGGACTAATCAATAATCAGAAAATTGGGCCGATTTTTTTAGATGGTAATTTAAGTCAGTTCCGATACCTACATTTATTGGAGAAAGTACTCGATGAGATGCCCTTACAAACAAGA